CTTCCAGAGCGGTGGTGAGGAGCTGTGTGGAGCTCTTACTCCTGTGACTGTGAAACTGTAATTAAAAAGCCTGGTCTAATCCCTCATCAGGGAGGACCCGTTGCCCTCCAGCCTGTTTACTGCTAGGGAATTGGCCACACAAACTCTCTCGCACGCTTTTATGCATTACAGCGCAAGACTTGTTAGGAGTAACACACAAAACGCACGCAGTAAAACATCACACTAATCAAGGGCTTTGCTGCCGAGGACGGGGAAAGAACCAGGCTAGTTTTAAGGGCCTGCCACCCTGCTGAGAGGTGGGGTTGCCTGTTTTCTGGAAGTCACTTTAAGCAGATTGCTCAGGGTGAACTTGTGGAAGGTTGTAGGTCTGTGGTGGTAAACAGATCCAGACCCAGTTGAGAATTTACAAAGAGAATTTTGTCCTGCTCGCTTTCCTCGTCTGTCTTTTTCCTCAACTCCTCTCCTGTCTTTGACTCCCTTTTCTGAAGTGTTCCTTTACCCTCTTTCCATTTCTCCCAGCAAGTCAGTCGTATTTATGTGCATACGTGCTCTTTTAACCCAAAGGTTTGCCATGCTTCCTAATGCTAACACACTCCTTTCCCTTTATGGTTATCCCCCACCTGACTGTTTGAAGTTGAAGCACTGGAGCTTCTCCTACATTGCTGATTTGCAGGCAAAAAAAGGAAAAAAGTTTGTTCAGTTGTAAATATTTTTCTTTTAATTCAGTATTCGGGAAAATTACTTGGTAGAATAATAGGAAAGGAAGAGAAAAGTGGGGGTTTTTCCCCCTGATTGTCCGTTGGGAAAAAATAAAAACGGATGGGACTTGTGTTGTAGAACTGTGTGGTTGTGGTAAATTTCAGGTGACAAATGGAGTTAATCTTGGAAATTTCTCATTTAAGGCTGCAAAACAGCACTGAATAACCTTTCATTGGCAGATTAACTGCTGGTTCTGTTTATGCGCTCAATCAGGTCAACTCAAAAGTGAACTGGCCCGGACCCTGAACGTGCGCATGAGTTAGAACACATATACATGCTCAATTAGATCCACAGTCTACCTCCTGCCCTACAATGCCATGCTTTTTTTCCCTTTTTTCCTTGGCTGCCTTCCAGCCCTCTTTTCCTGCTGGCAGACACTCTGAATAAAACACAGGTCATTTCAGTGCTAAAGTGCAGTTGGACCAATAAAAGCAGCCTTCTTTCTCATTGGTCTGGATGTGAGCTAGTGTGTGTGTGGATGCAGACCACCAAACCAAGAGCATTTTCATTGCCCATCATGCACTGGCAAGTCAAACTGAAGCAGCAACTGGTTATTATCTTCCGGAGGGGAAAAAAAGGCCTAATGGTGATTTATTCATGTATGGCTGTTATTAAAAAAAGAAGACAGACTGCACACTCATCAAGCTAGACAGTTACTAGAGCAGAGTAAGAACGCTTTTCTCTCAAGATGCAGACAACTGCTGTAGCCATGTGACATGGTTTATAAGTATGGCCGAGCCCGACACATAATTAGCTTTGAAATCTGACAAGAGTCTTAATTTTCTTTATCCCCCTAAAAGTTGATGATACACTGCAACAGTGGTGTCGGATATATTGTGAACCCCTTTTTAAAACTGGCTTCAGTGGAATGATTGCTAACGAAGCAGCTAATCAAAGGAAAATTGCCACCTTGGGACGTTCTTGAAATCGACACAGTTGTCAATAGCTCCGCGTCTGACACCCACAGGAAAAATGATTTGACTGGTGCTTCGGATACAATGTAGTCAAAATTTCTGACTGGGTTTCTCGAGTCTTTGTCTATTCTCACTGCAGGAGGCTAATGAGAGATAGCAGGCTAACTCTGCGTGGGGCTGCAGAAGTTGAAGCTTCCTGACAAACGCTGGATTCAGAGGAATAATTAACAATCGAGACAAAACTGAATCATAATGTCTGAGTCACGATTTGAACAGGCCTAGTGTTAAAGCGACCATAAAATGCATGGAAAAGCAGCATGTAGCCACTGTGACGTCATCAATCGTTTAGGGAAGTTCCCTGGTGCTGAGCAATTTAACGATTGCCACCTCGGTATTTTGAAACCAGAGACAAGCGAGAAACCGATCTGGCTGAGAAGC